TTGCAGTACATCATTATTCCATGGAAGCTGACTGTGTATATACATTTGGAGTATACGCTCACAAATTAATTTACTTCACAGTCACTGTACGTGTCTGTGGGAATAGCATCACAAACCTAATCAGATGCATCACCTCAGCTCTTTGGTAGTAAATTCATACCCCCACTTATCTTCTTGTACTTTGAGCAGGTAACTCTTGTCCTGACAAAGCACCTCATCCAGAGGGTAACATCTACTGAGCTTTTCGAGTCGTTCTTTGTACAAAACTATGGAACACAGTGCTAACAAACAAATTACCTGCTGTCTGATAATAGAAACTAGTTATAACCCAGGTCACGATAACAGTTTGTCTTAAGGAATAATTAGTTGAAAAACAACACTAAAGAGACAATAAGCACTATTATTAAATTCATTCTGAGGTCATCATTAGAGGAATCAACTTTCCTGTTCTGTGTTAATTAAATCCATTAGCAGAAGCTCAGAAACAGAAACATTAACACTGTCAATGTGGAACACTGTGGGGACAGATGGAGAGAAAGCCAGAAGGGATTTCTGGATACTCATATGAAATTTTGGAATCCCCTTAAACCAGTCATTCAAGTTGAGATGAATTTAATCTTTCCACCCCCTCTGGTAAAGTACAGAGTACTTTGTCAGGGAGCTTCCAACTGAGGCTATAATCAGAGTTAGTCTATTCTGCCCATCCGTGAAATCTTTGGCACCTTCTGACAGAAGTCAAGCCTTCCTCTCACACATTACTGTGCTCCCCACTCAAAGCCAGTGTATTTAGGTCCTGATAAAGAAGAAAATTAGATCTTATGAACTTTTTCCATTAACAGACCCCATGGATATAGAAAACAACTTTTTAGACCAGTAACGCATTTATTTATGGCATAACAAGTAACGTCCTATGGGACAAAATAAAGACTTCTGTACTGCAATCATATAGGACAATGACACCTACCAGAATAAGCCCACCCCTGCTGCAAGCCTTCTGTGATTGCTGCTTTCTATCTGAAGTTTGCAAGCCTACCAAAAAGATCATTATTTATCCTAGATTAAATCCAGAATTAAAATCTTGCAGTGCTGTAAGCACAGTACCCTCACTACGGTTGATTCTTTTGCATCAGGTTGCCTTGGAGACCAGCAGTCAAAATCTGAGACAAATGACCCGTAAACCTCTTCCTGAAAGAAAAACACATCCTCCTGCTCTATCAACCAAAGAGTATTTCAAGAGAAAGGTCCAAAGAGAAAGATTCCTAATTCTATCTCCAGATTATGTTCTCTACTTTACATAGAGACAAAAGATTAGATCAGAGACCTCCTTTTTCTCTCACAAAAGGTTTAATAGCTGCAGACTGAAATCAGACTCTTTCCTAAGATCTACAAAAAGAATACATGCTACAGCACTGACATGATTTGCATACAGCAGTTTAGCAAAGCAACCACACTGCAGGAACGCACCCTTCCCCTGCTTGGACTCAGCCAAAGGAATGGCAGAGAGAAGGCTGCACCTCATACTAGTGAGGCACATGCATCTGTTGTCTGACTTCATACTGCACATCTGTCACTATTTTTTTCATGACACTGATGTTTTATATGCAAGAGAACCTTCTCAGCTTTCCCCTCTTTTCCAAGTGCTTGAGCACCAAGGTTTTTAAGATTTGACATTATTTAGAGCAGGAAGCAGTTGAAGAGGGGAGGCTAAGCAGAGAAGAACCTAGTAGGGGGAAACATTAAGCCATGACACTGGGATCTCATCCTCAGGTTGTTTTTAACCCTCTTTCCATTGGGGAAGGCCCGAGAGCTATAATAATTCCGAAAACTGGATTTCTGAGGCTTCTGGTAGGATCCTGTCAATCCAGGCAAGTGATACCCTCCATCAGAGATTTATTCACATACCATGGAACACAGAAGGCTAGTATGCTTTGAGGCAAGCGTGCCGTAGAGTTTTGTGCCATCAAAAGCTGGAAAGCTTTACCTGCAGGAGGAGTTCTCAGGAAGCGAGAGCCAGGAGTGACAGGAAACCCGCAGGCACAAAACTCCCAAGCAGTGTTACCAGAATTCAGAGATGTGGCTACCAACAGATTTGAGAATCTCTCCTCCTTGCCTCTTCATGAACAGTATATAGAGAACAAACAGAACCAAAAAAACCTGAAGCCTACAAGTAAGTTTACACCATTAGGGCTTTTAAACCTTTGTCTTAGGAAACACTTTAACAGTAACTAAGACCTACAGCAACCTCTACGTACATGTCTATGCTTACCAGCAGAGATACCCCTCACCACAACTGCTTTTCTCCTTTTTACACAGTACACTACCGACAAAATGGAATCAAGAGATAAGAGGAGTGATTAAAGTTTGCTGGGCAGCCCTTCCCTGCATCAGTTAGGGGTCTTTACACCACTACCTGGGGACGCAATAGGGAGAGGAAGAACAGATGTCTAGTTTCCACACACGTTTCTACATCCGACTGAGTAGATTAGCTTCACACTTCCTACAGTTTCCTCATTACAGCACTCCTTACAGCATCTTCAAGTTGGTCCTGATAAAATATAGCAGAGTTATTCAGCAAAGCAGGCTGAAACTGGACCTCCAGTTCTGTGTTCTGACACCTCTGTACTCTGCTGTATTCCAATACACCCCCTCTTCTTCCTACTTAATACAAATTCAGAGAAGAGTCCAACATTTATGATGGACAGTAGCTTCTGTGCTTCAGTTTGCGGAAAAAAAATCTTGATGCCACAATGCTTCTCCAAAAAGGATGGCTCTTATTGCTCCCCTTAAGAGCCAAGCAGAACTCACGTGCTCCTTCAGATCAACACTTGTCTGGTTAAGGCTGAACTGTGTGAAATCCTGAGCAGATCATGCAGAAATCAAAGATTCAAAGCATTTCTGGTACACAGGAAAAGGGAGAAGCCTGGGTAGAATCATAATCTCCAGGTATGAGAAAGCAGTTCCTCCCTAGCAGTAACTTTTGGTGGTGGTCAGGAACTAGGAAGATCCCAAAAGTGTTTTAACTTTCACGCTGTAATCTGAACTAGGCGCCCTGTGGATATAGGGAGCCCGTGAAGGCATCAAAACACCTTTGTTTTCCTCTCAGTTGGAGTTGGGTTGAGGACAAGAGTCAAAATCCAGGCAGCTGTTTTTTTATTCCATAGTTCTACAGAACAGTCCTTCCACTGGGGTTGTCACAGCATACATGAGAAAGATTTCTTTCAATCACTCAGAACAGTGTTCTGTGGTTTTGTTTATTTACCTGTATAAGGGAAAATACCCATTTTAATTCTTCCTAGACGTGGTTATCGACACTAAGCACCGCATCTTCTCTATTCAAAGTGATTCTGCCAAAGGGATGAATCTGGCTGATTATATTTCTATCAAACAACAGGAGTCAAAAAAACTTCCTCAAAAGTATTCATTTACACACGCTTCCTGAAAAACTGCATAAAGGCATCAAGGAAATCCAATTGTACAAGAGCCGAGTGCTTATCTACATAGAATGCCCTTCATCGTTTGCATCACAGATCACCTTGGCCACACAGTGACAATTTCCCAGAAACATGGCAGTCAGCAGTATAAGTTGAAATATTTAAACTTTCAAAAGCAAGAAGTGAAATTCATTTAAAAATGTTTTAATGTAGCAAGTTTGGCTAAAGAATCAATGCAACATAAAGAGGACACCCATTGTATAACCAACTTTACTGCTTAATCTTAACAGAGTAAGCTACAGATGAAACAAATTTACCACAGGTTATTGGGATAAATTAAATAGCGTAGTTAGGACCATGCTGTTTGTAGTCGTGGCTTTACAGTACCAATGTTCAAATTGGCTGTTAGTTTTGCTGTAAGTAAAATGCAAGTTTACAGAGAAATAATTTAGTATATTATGCTGTATTGTATCATGCTCAGTCACAATGATAAAATCTTAGACAGATAAACAATATTTCAGCATTACATTAATAATGCCAAAACATACAGAATTTTTAATGCCAAATTTACAACAGAATACAGTGCTTTACAAACAGATGTCTCATGTTTCATGGCCAAGTGAAAAATGCTACATAGGACTGAAAAGCATTCAAGCACTATTCATAGTGGGTAAGCGAACCACACTAACAGGAATGCTTTACCTTTTGATGGAAATATTGATCTAGAAGTTTGTGTCCAAACATAGTGCAGTGTCAAGTGAATGTTAAAACCCTTGCCTCAACCATGAGGCAAAAGTCCTACACATTATTTACAAACTCACATGAGTAAAACCATTTTAAAAATAGAAACAATTGCAATCACTTTATAAAGCTAACGGAGCTTGTACACTGTACTAAGTGAACTAGAATTGTAGTGAAGTTGTAAACAAAATTCAACCAAATTAGGTTACTGCACCTATTCTTAACTCAAGAATATTGCCATCTCGGCACACAGATTAATTTATAAAGCTAAGGACACTGTCAGAGGTTTTGTTTTTATTTAAAGCCAAAAACTGATTACAAACTGGGAGATGGCAAATCAGTATTTGTTCCCTATTAGCATTCATTAACTTTTCCATTGTGCTGAGCTGGATTTTCAAAGTCCCTCAGTTTTAGCCTAATTCTGCTTACACTTCTGCAAACACTAAGAACGTTTTAAAACTCCTACTAAGAGGGGTTTTGTTTTTCACTATTAGGGATGAGATTAGATTGCTGACATTGTTCTTAAAGTCTAAAGCATTCTTTCTTAATTTAAAAAGAGAAAAGCTTCCCTAAAAGTCAAATAAGCCTTGCAAATATGCAAAGAAATACATAGGTAAGTCAGACTGGAATCTGTCAATCACAACAGAATGCTTTTCATTTCTGCCCTCCCCCTTCACCCCCCACCACTGAAGGCATTGCTTAAGTGTTTGATGTGAAACTGGTAGAATTAAATTCTTTACATGAAGTCAGGTTACAAAGCAGAAAGAAAAAGAAATTTTGTCCCTGCCGCATCTATTTTTTTGTCTTTTTCCTGCATTTTGTAATGCTTTATGCAAGCATAAAGGGTTTTTTTTGTGTTTTGTTTTTTTAATACAAACATAACAGTTGTGCGAAACAAAACTGAACATCTGTTTCACTTCAGAAAGGTCTTACATAACCAACTCATTTCTCTTCATAACAAAAGCTGATGAAAAATAAATCCGTAGTCACCAGTTAATAAAAAAAAAAAAATCTGTAGTCAAGCTGCTCTTTCAAGAACATTTCTCCTCTCAAACGAATTGCATTAGCCATTCTACTGATTAAAACAGATGTTATAATCGTTAAGATTCAGATCATAGGTCCAGATCTACTGGATCTCAGATCTCCTCAGCTGGATCCCAGCTAAGTTCACACAAGACTGGAAGTAGGGAGGGTGATGGGTACATATGGATGCATTATGCCACATTTGTAACTTGCCGTTTCTGTTGTGCGTTTCTGGCAATTCAATGCAGGGATACACTGACTACATCTACTATCATGCCCCCCTCACATCATCTAAAGAAGGGAAAAGGCACAGGAGCCACAAAGTGATCTTGGACAGGTACCATTATCCTCTGACAACGATGTGCAAGTCTGCTTTGTGCCAATGGAGATGCGCTTTGTAGACCTACTAGACAGGAGAATTTTATCCACGATCCATCCTAAAAAAATTTAGCCGTGACAGTTGTTTCTGTACAACATGGTATAAAACATATCTTAGCATTTCATTCAGTCTGGAATTCACATCTCAATCTATTGCAATTATGGAAGCCAATGAAAAGTTAATGAGGGGGATTCTACAAGAGTTGGTCCCAGCATTAAATACCAATACATATGAAAAACAAAACGGGACAAACTACCAAGTCACTGTTAGTGACAGTGGTAAGTTCAACTTTTCATCATTCCTTCTTAAATTCATCTCCTATTGATGCAAGAGAAGTATGTGACTTTGCAGCATGTTCGTTCACATCAGAAGCTTTTCCTCAAGAACATATTTTGCAGTAACAAAATATGGTCTATAAAGTTGCAAAGTGCACAAGCTGAAGGCACAGAGTACAAACACATAGGAAAACAGATTCTAAAACAGAGGAAGTTACAAAAAAAACTGATACAAGAGAATCTGAAATTTAAAATTCCCTGACAGAAGATACATTTATATGGGACCAACTCTTAAAAGGTGACATCATTTTTGTACTAATGAACAAATACTGCAAAATAATGAAACTTTATTCTTATTATTTAAGTAAAAGCTCCAGAAAATACCTTGAAGTTTAAAAACTAATACACTGATGTGTTAACTAGTTTTAAGAACGTCCTTAATATTAAGAAAAGAGTGCAAAAAAGATTCTTCCATTCTAACACTTTTGGAAGCTGCTGATTTCGGCTGCCCGTTTCCACTTTGAAAGGATTGTTTTTCAAGGTGCGTTTCCTCACAAAATCGCAGAACAAGAACTTATTGAGAGACTAGACCAAGGAATCATGTCTTTCAAAGTCATCCCAATTGTAGCAGCAACTGACATTTTATTATATAAAGAAGAAAGTCCAAAACTCTTCTTCGAGGCATAGTTCGTGTCAGAGCTCGAGTATCAGCAGTTGCCAAAGGAGGCTCCGGATACCACCTGCGCTCCTCCAGTGTCTGTTCTGGCTAGGAATAGAAGCTGATCCAGTATATTCACTATCTGTACCCCCTGGAGCTTGCACAAGCTGATGAGCCATCTGAAATCATATAAAAAAGTTGAAGAAATTCTCTCATATTAAACTTCCAACTTATGTCCTTTTTCCACCACCCCCCTCAACAATCCGAAAAACAACATTACCTGCAAAACACTAACAGTGTAAACCAAAGCTCATGTACCAATTAAACAGTCATTCATTCATTTCAGATTGTAGTAAGAGCTCATAACGCTGTGTGACATTTTAGGGAAGGACATAAACTGATTATACCCTTCTTAAAGCACAATAGGAAGATGAGCAGAAAGAATGCAATAAAGTGAACTGAAATTAACAACAGCACCAGAATAGATACCATTACCCAATCCCCAAGGCTACTTAAAGAAAAGCAATCAGGACCTTATTTCTAAATCCTGACCTAGACTACATGGGACTAGATTTTCTCCTGTGCAAACTATTTACTCAGCACTGAAGATGCGACCACTCCATCAGGGATCAGTAACTGACTGCACACCACTTAGGCATCTCTGGAGTACAGTAACCAATTGAGAACGGAAACATCACTCCTATGTGTGTCTCTGCCCATTCCCCACCCTTCCCCAATTTATATCGGAGAAATTAAGAGAATAACAAAGCAAAGAGCCTCACAGTTAAACCTGCAGCAAAAAACTTCATCTACAATTGGAAGAGAATTTCCCTGCTGCAAGATTCTTGAACGTTTGTAACCAAATTATGCCCTTTAGTATCTCAGCTCAGGTTGTTTTTCTATTAAAGATATAACTCACCATTCCAAGTTGAAAAGCACAACCCCTCTAAATTTTCTATTCTGTCTACATACAGAAATACACAAAGGGTAAGAAGATCAGAAGATCTTCTAGATCAGAAGTTCTTTAGATCAGAAGTGGACTGGCTCACCATTTTGTTGCCTGTATGCGTATACAGACTAGGCAGAGACTTTGGGCAACTATACTCTTTCCTTAAGACCTCAGCTATGTGCTTAAATGAAGCAGAAGCATCCCAGCTTCCGTAGCTAGGATATCTTCCTACCTTAAAAGGGGGCCGTGGAAGCCTGGCAGAGTCAGCCAGGCTCTGCACGTGAGATGTGTGTATTATTACTCAGAATGCTAGAGCTTACATCAGCAGACGGCTAGCTACATCGTGAAGTGCAGCCTTTGACACACCTTCCCCCCTCCTCCACCAGAACCCAAACGCCCATCATTACTTGTATGCCCAGTTTGTGAGGGACTGCAGCACGCTGCAAGCCAGGGTTAGAATTTGCATTCAGCATGTGCCCACATTATTCTCCTCCAAATTTGTTCATAAATACTGATTGCTATACCAAGAACAGACCAGAATCATATCTAACTGTGATCATCTGACAATCTGATAGAGAAGCTCTGCTTACTGCCCGGAGAATACTCCACCAGATAGTTCTGCAACCGTATTGTTACAGTTCAGCCTATGTTTCCTTGACACACTTATGCAATTGTCAGGCAAGACTAAAAATCCTTATTCAAGCCAAGAAATAAAGCCAAGACTACCGCTTCTAAGCTGTCCACAAGGTCTAATTTCCTTTCATTACAGAATATAATAGATTTGCAATAAAATATAAGCAGGACAGTTCAAGAGGAATACCTGCTAGAGAAACACACGCACAGAAATATTCCGTCTCTTCTTGCTTGCTGGCATGAACTATAATCGCAGCTCATAAAATAGCAGAGTAGAAGATTTATACTTACTGTAAGTTAACTCTTCTCCAGCTCTCTTGCGTGACTGGTCACCCCTAGGAAACAAGAGCAAGAAAGATACTTATTATATGTCTAGTCTGTTTCAAACCACCTCAAACTTACTTCTCAGGGCAAATGCACTGCTTTCCTCAGCCCAGGTTCTTACGGCTTTGTTTTCAATGTCTTATTTCACATACTAATCTATCAAAAAAAAATTTCCTCTACGGACAGTGAACAAAAGTAGTTTTCTCTCTCCTACTTTACAAAGGGCAGGTCTACAATAGTATTTTCATTTGGGTCACTAGCACAATTTTGAAGTTCACTCACTTACCTCGCTTTGGAGGGAAGGAGAGAGAGCTACAGCTACCATACCCACATCAGGTGGGTGCTCAAACTACGGGACCCGATTCTCACTGTTCCACTGGTGACAGTAAAGACGAGGATTTCTTTTTTCTTGTGCAGAAATAGGTATAGCAGGAACAGAGCACGTTAGCTTCCCCAGCCTGATCTTGGTTTACCAGACTACTGCAAAAGTAGTACAGCGCTGTAGTGAAAGTGCTGCATTTCTGCCTAGAAGGTTCAGTAAAAGAGCAGACAGCAACAGGCACAGCCCTGTGCAAATAACAGTATAGCTAAAGAACATTTTCTGCTGTCTCTTTTACTGTTTGCTCATTTTTTTCCAATACAAGACCCAGTCAGAAAAGAAATGCCCATTCAAAAATAAATAATAAAAAAAATCAATAAATAAAATCAGTACAATTGATTGTACTGCTAATAAATAGCTCTGGGGATAGGGAGAAGTAATCAACTGACATTTTCAGAAATATCATTACAAAATTATCACACTATCAGTTTATAGAAAATAAATGGCCTAAGCATAAGGCTGAATGAGAACAATCACGCATTAAAAGGGCAATTAAAAAACACAAAGAGGCATGAACTGTAAGTTATCTGTTTCATGAAAATATTTTAAGACTGCTGATCATCTACCTCTTACTACCATCTGCCGGGTTTGTAGGGGAAAATTAGGGCACATTTCAGATGCTGAGTTTTGAATATTCTTGATTAACTCAGAATATTTGTCAATACTTTCAGGCATATCCATTTTTAAAGTTTCAGCATAGTTCGGGAGAACTGCTGTGGAAGGCTAATAATTATTACCTAGTAAATCCATTCTGCATAAGCTCTCTTTGAAATTTCTGGTCTTGAGCAGCGTATTCCTGAAGCTCAGATTCCACAGCAGGGGGTAGAATGTTTGGGATGAATTTTGAAAATAAAGCTGGTGCCATCTGTACCCATTCTGTAAGAAGACAGAAATTAACAACAAAACACGTGGAAGAGATTTTTTTGTGAAAATTTTATACTCTGAAAAGAATTAGTACCTTTGGTCTATTTTAAATAACTTTAGGATCTATTTACTCAAGAGCTTTCCCACCAAAAGTGGGCCCTGGCATTGATAATAAAGCTACGTAACTGTAGGATGCGTTCTTTGAAGTCTTTTCACTTTTGTGATCATTTACTACAGCACAGCAAAATATTAAATGTTATTAGCTTATAAAAGTATTTATCCACACCTTTTAAACATAAATAAGGTTAAAGTGTAAAGAATCTAGACTCCATTATCAACATCTCTCTAGACATCCAGACCTCCGAACCCAAGTCTTAAAAGTAGAACAAATATTCAGACTATTAAAATCAGATGTTTACATCTAGATTAAGAATTTTTTTTATTGATCTCCCTGTCATCAAGGTGAAGTTCATTTCTTTCTGTGCCACACAACAAATCCATGCAGATAACCTCAGTTACGACATTACAAAGCTAAACAATCCCAAGGAGAGGCACAACCGTTCAAATATAACTTGACAATCAGATCATCTGAAATAGTTTGCTTAAGGAGGCAGAGTCACAGAATTCACACATCTCTTCCCAAGCCCTGCTTCTAGAAAACACAGCTAATCACCACACAGTCCTGCTACTCCTTCTCCCATTTCAAATGAATTGATGCAATTCTCTCTACTGAAGATCTACCTAGCTCCTAGACAATGAGCACTTTTTAATGTTCAGATAATTTTAAACTGTAGGAGTTCAGCTTCAGGATAACATATAATCTAATTTCACTACACTGAATGTTGTCCTACAGAAGCAAGAAAGGTTACCTTAAAACTTCTTCTAGGCTGACAATAAAAGACCCAGAGAAGACTGAGTGAAGGCTGAGAACTGGCTTTATAGCAATTGGGTAAGAGTTTCTGGGAAGAATGAACACTCAATTATTTTTAAATCTAGATTTGAAAGAGGTTGTAACGCTTATCTTAAACCTCATCTTCACATGGAAAAAAGGGATGGTTTTAAGGTATGCAGCAAGTTTTTATCTAATTCCAGGGTACAGTTACTAGCTGAGATAAACCAAGCTTCAATAATCTCTACTTTGACCAGCAAACATTAAAAAAGCTGCTATCACATGCTATCCAAGAGAAGGTGTAGGACTCCTGGAGAGCATTCTGCTGGGACATGCCATAACTGTAGTCCACTCTCCAGCATTAAAAAAGTCAGACAGTCCTGGAGGAATTACTCACTAGCCAGTAAGAGCTCATGAGTCGGGTTAGTGTTTTACAAGTTCTTTACCAATAAAGAAAAGTTTTAAATTGCAGCCAAATGCTCTAATAAGGACATCCTCCAATAGCTGTATTCCTAAAGCAAAAGAAAAATGAGAGGATGGTTCCTAGAGATCACTTGCACATTTCTATGGGCCTGCTGAAAATAGTTGCTTTGTGCTCCCCGAGTTCAGCTGATGGAGAACATTTAAGAGCAGCAAAATTCTCCATTCCCATTACTCTTCTTGTTCCTCATCGGTTAGTCCTGTTACTCTTCCCATCACACTGTTCTATACAAGTATTATGAGACAGACGCTGTTCTTCAAGCTCAGGTTTCTGTGTTCCCAGTGCAACACCACCATAGATTGCGTGGAAACAAGTCACTCTGTATCTTCCCACTTCTGGGACTGCTCTATGGTCTCCTAGACTCATGCTTCTCAAGCGCCCTTGAAGGAAGTGTTAGTAGGGTGTCACTGGAGAGGATAACAGGGCATAATGCCAGGAGGATGGGATGTGTCAGGGTGAGGCACGGAGACTGCAGCTGTGCTTGAGAATGCCCTGAGAACGCAATGCGGACAACAGAAGAAGAGAAAGTGTATGGCCACCTGCAGCATCAACACAGCTTCTCCTCCTTCTGCTGTGTTGTCCAAGCAGAGGCTTCCCAGGGCTGCTCCAAACCGCCAGCCACTTCCCAGTGGCCAGATTTTCTGCTTTATTTCTATGCTTCCCCATTTAGTCCCCTATCTCCATGATACATACAAAGGAACATGCCCCACTGAACAAGAAACGTAGCACAGCATACATATCCTGGGGAAAAAAAAAGTGAGGAGTGCTGAAGAGGCACTCCAAAAGTTTTAGAGCCACTAAAAGTGATTTAATCAATGCGTTTTGTAAATGTACAGTCCACAACATCCCTAGCTTGCATACATGCTGAATATTGCACTACAAAAAGGGTTTAGGTTTTTTTGTAAAGTTTTCTCATCCTCACTTCTATAAATGAGGATTCCAAAGGAAAAAAAAAAAAACAGATTACAGCTGGGGTACAATCCTTCTCTTGCTCATTTAGTTTTTTTTTTTTTTAAATATAGAAAAATAATAGATGAACATTTTGATTCTGAAACGTCACAAAAAGGCCAAACCATTTCCTTTCAGTTCTCAAAGGCAGATACAGCTGATAATAGGGATTTACAGCAGGAACTGCAACAGGTCATTAGAGCATAAAAAAATATAATTTTAATATTGTTAAAAGTCTACATCTTACTATTACAAAGTAAGACCAGGGCCTTTACACAGTATAGCTAAGCATTATGATGGACAGGAGCATAATATGTGCCTGGGTTTTTTTGTTTTGTTTTGTTTTTTTAAATATGCATTACACAGTGACTACATACTTAGGGAAACATAACAGAACCACAGTATGAGATACTCCTAAAAACATTTTTCTTTTTTACCTGGTCTTAGTGTATACAGGCCTTTCACAATATTTGCCATGGTTGAAGGAGTTATTTGAAACGGTGTTGACTGAGCTTCCAAAAGTAAAGCTGAAATAAAATTGACACACATAATTAGCCATCATCTTAATCAAAAATGCAGATCCTACACATGTAGTTTTGTGTAAAAGTAATATAGTAGTTCTGCTTCTTCTGTTATCTCATGTTCTCACAAAGGAAATGGTCAGGTATCTGACTGATAAGTTAAGGTTATCTTTTATTAATCTTGAATTATGTAAGAGTATCCTATTCAAATTATGCATGATGAAAGTGTGAAATAAGTTATTTTCATCCCTTTTTAGCTAGGTATCTGGAGCTGTACAGAGAAAAAATAAGCAAGTAAGAGCTTTTAAGTATTCAGATACAGAACTGAAGTAAACAATTTATTTTTAGAAGCACTCGCACACTATGAACACCGCTGTGGTAAATGCCAAAAGGCTCACAAATCCTTGCATTATGGTGTTTAATATCTTGTCCACAAAACTAAGGCTGGACTGAAAGTCTATGAATGAAGTACAAGTGAGTATGAAAAAGAATGTGAAATCAAACAAGAAAAAGTTGTTTGTTCTTTGAACAAGAATGAACATTTCTATTTCATTCTTGGTATCATCTGTAGTAAACATACCAATAATTGCCTCTTTCTCTAGTGGAAAAACCTGTCAGTAGGAGCAGACTGAGTGTTTACATTATGATATTCAGGACTGCAGCCTGGCTTGCGTTTAATTTGAGGTTTGCACATATATATGAATTATAAAATAGACAAACAAAAAGAAATGAGTACGGTCTACACCAACTGCTGCCTCTCAATTTTTGTTTCTACAAAGGATTTGTGCATTACATAAGCTACTATGTAAAGGAGAAATGACTGTGGCATTCTACCTAAAGGGCACATCTCTTCCACCTGTACTGTGGAGACACTGCTTTTTAACTCCAGAGCTTCTCCAGTTCTATCTTTAGCATCTGCCGCTATGGCTCTTACCCTAAAAAAAGAAGAAAACTTACATATTACATTCTTCTCTTCCTGAAGGTGGGTAAAGCGGCTCACAAAACAGGGAAACTGACTAAGGAAGTATTTTTTCTCTCACCTCTCAGTGGAGTTTGTCAAAGCAGTTAAATGTAACTGTTAGAAATGAATTTATTTTACAAATAACTTCATCTTAAAAGAGCTTAGTCCTTCCACAGCTGAAGCCTTGAGATGGTGAGGGCTTGTGATTTGTTTTGTAATGACACATTTAGGGTCTCTTTCCCAAACACTATTCTTGAAACAGCTTCCGGGCAGCTAAGAAAGTTACAAATTGCAAAATTAAAAGGGGTAGAAGACTTTAAAAGGAAGATATCTAGACAGTCATACACAATCCCTACACTATATATACATTTTTAATTAGACTGTAGCTACTTCAATACAAGTCTCAAAAGATTTGCAAAATGGCCAGAGAATCCTAAGTGTTCTTCATATGTTCTCTGATGTACTAATACGTTATATTATGTTCACGCTACATACACGTAACATTATTTAAAACACAGCAAGTCTAAGCAGTAATATGGACCAGAAAATCTGGAGTTTTAAAAAAAAAAAATCACTTGAACATTTAAATTTTAACAAATGTTAAGGAACAATTATCTAATTGTTAGATAGATTAGGTAGATTAACATAGCTACTTGATTTTATTACTGACAAACTGAGAACTGTACTCTCCAATAATGTCTAGGTTATAACCAGCAAGAGCAATTTAAAAATATTTCAGAAGTTATTTCGTATATTTGCACATAAACAGAACATACCTTGGGAGAAAAAGCTACTCAGAGTTGCTTTGGGGGACAAACCCAAGCTTTAAAGCAAGCTGCCCCACAGCTACATAGCTAACTAGAATGCATCTAACCATTTAGCTCCTCTGAGTAAATGAGGAACTCCAGGCCAGACATATCCCATCCATTCCAGAGGGAATCTGAAATAAGATGCTCATACCATGACCACACCTTCAAGTAGGTGGCAGAGACAAATGAAAGTTATATTTTATGGTATATATGGATCAAAGAGAAGAGTTTCCAAGAGGCAAAGAGCCCACCAGACTGTCTCTCCATCTCATTCCTCTCAGACGTGTCTCATGTACTGGAGACATGCCAGGTGTGCAAGATGCTCCACCCTGTCTTCTCATCTTCCGACTGGTGAAAATCACCACTGCACCCCCCACACAAGCAGTCCCTTAACACATTCAAAGTGCTGCTGGATGGCAGAATTATTTGCACAACAGTTTAATATGATAATCAAGGACAGTTCACCACTACAAATATGCTATATTTCTCATGGGTTTCTTCTGAAGCTAATTTTCACCTATAAAACTCTCAATTCCACTCTGATCCTAACAGATCACCTGTCAACAGATGTATTTGTGATATGAAACAAGTAAAATGATGAGCAATTTGTTTTTATTCCAGAACGCTGACCGTATGTATCAACAGGGTAAAGAAAGCAAAAAATATTCCTTTCATGAAACCCTGCAGTACAAACTGTAACCCAGCCTATACTTCTTCCAAAAGCTGGATGCCAATATCTGACGAACGAGTAACACCGCTGTAGGAGATGTACTTTCAGAAGGATTTCCACAAGAATGAACAGGACTCCAAACGTCTCTGGATCTGAAAATCTCAACTCAGTTTTACAGACAAAGATATAAACACACAAAGCATGTAACTCAAACACATTCATCTTCAGTTTTGCAATGAAACCTAACCAATTCCTACCCATACTTTCAATCCAATATTACTTCTTAAGAGAGCGTCATTGGAAAGCTCAGAAGAAATAAGGGCAGAAACAGCTGTCTCAGACACACAGAAGTCAGCTACGTTGTTGTTTTACAATCTTATATTTACAAAAGACCTGCAAGACATAGGTTAGGCTCTTGCTTGTTTAGAATAATTAGCGCGACTACAACAAAGAAGTTGCACAGACTCCTCCTACCTACTTCTAGACAGCTCTGCCTGCAGCATTTACACAGACAGGGCAGGGCGAGGCAGAATAAAACCAAATCTCAGGTGAACGACAGTGGTAACGATAGACACGATACCATCTGACCACCTCCACAACGTTTAGTTTGTGAAATGCAGTTTTACTTCATAAGTAACCAACATGTAAAAGATTTAATTAACCTGCAAATACCGATGAAAATAACACGTCAGAATCAAAGGAGAGAGCTGTGGGTTCCCACGAATGAAATGCTTTGAGTGCAGAAAGCTATAAGATGCTTCGAAATACTGTTAAACTGAGGTAAGACACAACAGCCATAATCACCTCAGGACGCTGGAGGAGCAGCGGATGAACCACAGTGGAGTCGGTCAGGAATGAACCTGCAACACTTCAGGCACTCTGCAGTAACCAAGTGTATTCTATTACTCCACAGTAATACCGCAGTAGATCATTCCTTAATTAAGGTTTAAGCTACTTCATAATTACAGTGGGGTACTTAGGGCAAGATAAACAACCCCAGTAATTACAAGAGGAGCAGACAATGTGTTACTGTTTCTCTTGTTCATAACCCAAGATTTACCTGCAAGAATTAAGAGTTCACTATTCTAAGATTCTTTTTCTTTCCTTCAAAATTCCTTTCAAAGTAGTTATTTTGCTTGGCACAGATGTATTTTTTTCTGGGCAAACAGTGAAACTTCTGCATGTAGGCTTACACGATTTATCCTCCTTTGTGGTGATCAAGGAGAACCTCAAAAAAAGATACTGCAACAAATCATATACAAGTATGCCTTAGGGCAGATGTGCTCAAAAACCACACTTTCAAAAATTGTAAAACATAGTCACACCAAAAGCAACTCCAAAAACTTTCACAGCTAAGGCATTAGTTAGCTGTTTCACTCAAGTCTCTTTAGAATAATTAAAGAGACTACAACAGAGAAGTTGCACAGGCTCCTTCTATATGTACTTCCAGACAGCTCTACCTGCAGCATTTACACAGATAGGGCAGAGCGAGACAGAATAAAACTAAGCAGAACTAAATGGAAGCAGAACTGATATGTGTAATAAGGCGGCAAAATAAACTAAATTTGTTAAAGAAAACTTAATCCCAATGTACGAACTCTTTAGTATTTAACTCCAATATTTATACAGTTCCACTGAACTCATGGGAACTAATTTTGCAGAGTAATCATTTTTACATTTCTGCAGAACTTGAGCCCTTACACAACTGTAAAAACAAGATATCTGCAAATGCATAATAATAACAATAGAACTATAATAAATGCACAGCTTAATTCCTTAGCACAGGCTTACACAGTAATCAAATCGATAGCACTTCTTTCTTAGAAACGTTACACTTCATTTTTCTGTAGGATTCTTAAACTTAAAACCCAAGTGTAACATAGCATATAAGTTTGTACAGCTTTATGAAGGTAGTAGTTACATTGTGCAGATTCTCTTCTCATGCTAAGTTTGCACACTTTTAGGAAAACAGTAAACAAAGCAGTGTCTAGGAGCTGAGCAACATCCAATACACTACAGAAAAAAGGAGCTTCACTAATCAAGTCCCACATTTTTTATATAATATTGCTTTTGTCATCACAGTAGTCACACTGTCTGCCAAAGAAAATTATTGATTTCAAATGCTTAAGGTTGCATTCTACATTAGTGCTTTATTTCAGACTAGAAACGCACCTCTGAAGAATAACCACTGGATATCTGAAGGATATCTGAAGGATCCACCTATCACACCCTTTCCTTCATACCACAGAGCAGTCTTAGAGCACATGAAATTTATTCCTTTTCAGGTAAGATTAAAGCAGATGTGCTCAAAATATTAACTGGCATCCACAGGATCAGACCTTAGCAAGCATGAAATATAGCTTGTAAATGCGCGTAAATGTGAAGATTAGGTCCTCAGCACCAACTGCTTCACTCTGCAGATCTCCTCGTGTTACACCATACCACTTGCTAGTGTAGACATAGACTAAATCCTGCAAGAAAACCTTCAGCTCTTCCCACACAACATCTGTTAGGTCCGGTATGCACCTTTCACGCTAGAAAACCATGGTAATTAGCTCCTGCTGCA